TTCCCACCAAGGCAGGGTGACCCGAAAAACAAGAAACATCTTCATCATCATTCACTCCATCACCGTCTTGCCAGAGGCATGCTTACACTACAGTTATAAAGCTGCAACAGTATGGTGCCAGGACTCAAGTCCGGCCTGCAAATTTTCCCGAATCCCTTCATAAATGTTACTTTGCTCACACTCCAACAGCACATCTAGTCATAAAAACCATTTGTCTCCACTCGCTCTTATCTAAGAAGATATTCAAAGGACCTCAATGGAAATAAGCCATAGTCGCCTTTTTGGATTTATCCTATTCGTATAAAGTATTCATAGGCCTGATCTGGGACCGGGCTAGGGGGGTGGGGTGACACCTGAAATTGCCTTCAGGAAACCTTCAGATACTTAAAGATAATTTATTTAAGATACGCATTAGAAACAGTAGTTGAAGTTTTCTTTAATACCAGAAACTGTGTTATAGAAAACGTTATTTTTATAGCATAAACTCGATTGTTTTTATTGGTTTAGAAGCTAACACCTCTCTGGGCCTAGTGAAGGGCTTTTGATCCATGGATTTGCCTCCGTTTACAACATTAGACGACGTCAGCTTCCGATCAGGGCTTCAAGTGGTGTTTTATTCGTCAGGAAAGTATTTACTGAAACAGGTATTTGTTATTTACTTACTGACTTACTTACCTACCTAACATCTGGGGTGTCTGTGACTGGTAAGTATTCAAAGTTTATTCTCTATAAGGATTACAATGCTGAGTTTACAGAAATTTGGTTATTGTGTGGTTTACATGTAGTAAAATTGTGATTACAGAGTGTACCACTAGAACGCTTAGCATGGCTAGGCATTTCGGGCATACTTAGTTTTATTCTTAATTGTAAAATATTACAAATTATGAGGTAAGTTGGTCTAATGGCTAAGTGACTAAATACTAGTTTATTAAGTAACTAAGCATCAGTGTTGCGGCACACACTAGCGCCTCACTTGTGGGTTATCTATACAGTGATGAAAACTGCGTAACATTTCGATCAGTCATTGTAAATCAGTTGGGAATTGTTCTAACCACGGTATTGTGAATTGGCAATTTTTCTATCGGTGTCCCGTGGCCTGGTGGCAGAAGCTCTCGCTTCACACGGTGAGGGTTCGGGTTCGATTCCCTGCAAAGGGTGAAAACATTGGACGTGTTTCCTTACATCTGTTGTCCATGGTCACTCACCAGTAAAAATGGGTACCTGGGTGTTAGTGGACTGGTGCAGGTCACATCCTGGGACAAAACTGACCTAATTTGCCCGAAATGCTGAACATAACAAGCGGCTTTCTATAAAGTAGTATGTCACTGATGTCAACTATGGTCTGTATATCTTGTACATATATTTGTAGAAATATAGATATTATTATATTATTATTATTATTATTATTATTATTATTATTATTATTATTATTATTATTATTATTATTATTATTATTATTAACCACGATACTGTGAGTTGGGAATTATTCTAGCCATTGTATTATGAGTTTTATTCTCAACTAAAGGACCTGACTTCGGGAAAAAATTTTGGATTTTTAACCCCGGAGGGTCAGCCACCCAGGATAACCCAAGGCCTGGTCACAGACCGGGCCGCGGGGGCGTTGACCCCCGAAACTCTCTCCAGGTCTCCAGGTAAAGTCAGTGCGTGACTTTACACGACTTGCATACACCTCTTTCTCTAGTAAATCCACCTTATTGTTGCACTTACAAAAAAAAATTGCCAGGGAGTGAATGTCTGTATCAACACTGTGTTATCCTCTGAAGAACTATGTTAATTCACTTTTGTTGCTTAAATAAACCATATTTCTTGCATTATATATATATATATATATACATATATATATATATATATATATATATATATATATATATATATATATATATATATATATATATATATGTAGGTAGTAGGTTGGTAGACAGCAACCACCCAGGGAAGTACTACCGTCCTGCCAGATGACTGTGAAACAAAAACCTGTAATTGTTTTGCATGATGGTTGGATTGCTGGTTTCTTTTTCTGTCTCATAAACACGCTAAGATAACAGGGATATCTTGCTACTCCTACTAACACTTTGGTCACACTTCACAGACACGCACATGCATATATATATATACATACATCTAGGTTTTTCTCCTTCTTCTAAATAGCTCTTGTTCTTTTTTATTTCTTCTATTGTCCATGGGGAAGTGGAAAAGAATCTTTCCTCCGTAAGCCATGCGTGTCGTATGAGGCGACTAAAATTGCCGGGAGCAATGGGCTAGTAACCCCTTCTCCTGTATACAATTACTAAAAAAGAGAAGAAGAAAAACTTATAAAACTGGGTTGCTTAAATGTGCGTGGATGTAGTGCGGATGACAAGAAAACAGATGATTGCTGATGTTATGAATGAAAAGAAGTTGGATGTCCTGGCCCTAAGCGAAACAAAGCTGAAGGGGGTAGGAGAGTTTCAGTGGGGGGAAATAAATGGGATTAAATCTGGAGTATCTGAGAGAGTTAGAGCAAAGGAAGGGGTAGCAGTAATGTTAAATGATCAGTTATGGAAGGAGAAAAGAGAATATGAATGTGTAAATTCAAGAATTATGTGGATTAAAGTAAAGGTTGGATGCGAGAAGTGGGTCATAATAAGCGTGTATGCACCTGGAGAAGAGAGGAATGCAGAGGAGAGAGAGAGATTTTGGGAGATGTTAAGTGAATGTATAGGAGCCTTTGAACCAAGTGAGAGAGTAATTGTGGTAGGGGACTTGAATGCTAAAGTAGGAGAAACTTTTAGAGAGGGTGTGGTAGGTAAGTTTGGGGTGCCAGGTGTAAATGATAATGGGAGCCCTTTGATTGAACTTTGTATAGA